ATACTCTCATTATATTGCTATCATTCCATATCACCTGCATGTCAGCTTCTCAGTCAGAAGAACCATACACCTCTGACTTATGAGCTCTTCTGATGCAATGATAGAGTCTCTACCTCTGGGCGAGCAGATCTGCATTCAAGTCTTAACTGTCCTGGCAATGTGTCATAATATGTCCAAACATGTTGATTAAAACAACTACACTTCTTACTTACTTCTCTTTCTTCTTATCCTTGTCTGGTTTTCCTTTCAGCCATCCAAGAGCCTCAACCTTTCCACGCAGAAGGAAGACACACTGACGCTAGTTCACATGTGTGGCTGCCAGCTCAAACTTTGACACAGTGCATAATTCACAGGATAGCATGGAGGTGCACATGGTGAGGTACCAGGGAAAAGTGCCTTTAAGCGGGGCAGAGCGTAAGGATATTGCAAGAGCCAACATGCTAGAGCACAAGGTGACACACCAGCTCTGTTGTTCAGGACTCAGACGAAGACTTCAATTGGGCCAGGCCACAGAAGAAGGGCAATGGCTACAGACACCCAAATGCTCTGTGGAATGGGAAGCCTGCATTCAACAAAGAGCATAGATGATAGAGTGCTGTACCAAATTGGTACAGGGCTTTTTGCAGAGCTTGGAATCCATCCTGGGAAATATCGAGACAATAGCCAAATCTGCCAAACAACTACTAACTTCATGGATAGAGGATTGGTTAGTTGAGAGAAAATAGCTGTAAATGGGTCTTTTTCAGGTTCGCAAGATGACATAAATGCAGTGCCACAGGAATTAGTGCTTAAATCTCAACTATTTGCAATCTATATCAATGAATTAAATGAAGGGATCAAGTGCGCCACTGCTAAAACAGAATATGTGGATATGATATATTTGGATTTCCAAACGCAATTGTTCAGTCGTCACATGTTACTACACAAAGTAAGAGCTCCTGACATAGGGGACAACACACCTGCTTGGATGGGGATTGGTCAGCTAACAGAAAACACAGTAAAACCAAAAGAACTGCGGATGCTGTAAATCAGCAACAAAACAGATGTTGCTGGAAAAGCTCAGCAGGTCTGGCAGCATCTATGAAGAGAAATCAGAATTAACATTTCAGGTCCAGTGGCCCTTCTCAAAAACACAGCAAGGTCACTTTTGAGTTAGCAAAATGTAACCATTGGAGAACGCTATAGGAATCAATGCTGTGAACTACTAACAATGTATATCAAAGAGAGGCTGAATAGAATGCGACCTTTTTTTTACTGGAGCTTAGGAAGTTGAGGGGTGACCTTATAGAGGTTTATAATATCGTGAGGGGCGTATATAAAGTGAATAACAAGGACCTTTTCCCTAGGGTAGGGGAGTTCAAAACTACAGGGTATATTTTCAAGGTGAAAGGAGAAAGATTTAAAATGGACCTGAGGGACAATTTTTTTCACACAAATGGTAGTTCATATGTGGAATGAATTGCCAGAGGAAATGGTAGATGCAGGTACAGTTATAACATTTAAAATACATTTGGACAAGTACATGAATAGGAAAGGTTTAGAGGGATATAGGCCAAATGCAGGTAAGTGGGACTAGTTTGGTTTGGGAAACTCGGTCGACATGGACAAGTTAGACTGTAGAGTCTGTTCCTATGCTGTATTACTTCATAACATGGATGAAATATAAAAGCCATGTAAAGATGTTGTTTTGGGTCCAGAAATTAGTAACTTTAAAGTGACAATGGGCATCAGAAGAATGTAATGGGAAATAATAGTACAAAGAGAGAAAAATGTAAGACCCAAGATGGAAAGAAATCAGTTCACATGTAGGAAATGGTTGAAATATTGGGTCTATCATTCACAGGAAGAACCAGAGGACTGGCATTCAGCCTCTGAAAGGTAGATGGTAGTTTGCCAGACATCAACAGCACCATGTGAGCTGATTTGGTAACAAGAAACCCAAGTTGGAGTTCAACAAGCTCAGGGGATCATTCAAGCCCATCTCCGAACACATCTTCCTTTCCTCTTGTCTTCACTTGCAGAATTTACATTCTGCAGGAACTGGTCCCTCTGCTGTCAATCACTTACAACATGTCAGACCAAAACAGGAGATGTTTTGACTGGCCCTTTACCTTGTCACTTCCCAACTGTCAAGACACCAAGCACTCCTTCTACATGAAGCTGTGATTTACTTGTACTTCTCTCAATATAGTCTACTGCATTTGCTGTTCATAATCTGGTGTCCTCTACAATGGGGATATATTAAACTCAGACTAGGTGACTGCTCTGTAGAACATCTCCACTCAGTCCACATGCATGACACCAAGCTTCGAGTGGCCTGGAATTTTAACTCTCCATGTTGTTCTTATTTCACGCCTCTTGTCTTTGGCCCACTGCACCATTCTGGTGAAGGTCAATGTAAATTTGTGCAACAGCACCATATCTTTTGATTTAGGCTCTTCAAAACCTTTTGGACTCAACAGTGTGTTCAAGAATTTCTGACCATAAACTATAACCTTTTACACTCCTGTCCACACCCCTCCAAATTTGTGTCCTTTTCTTGTTTCGGTCTTTTTCTCACAGTCAGCAGCACACCCGTCCTAGGCAGATCTTTGTTACTTTATCTTGCCCATCACTGCTCCCTTTCATAAAGCAAGAAGATGCGGACGGTGAACATCTGAAGCAAGAATAGAAATTGCTGGAGAAAGTCAGCAGGTCTGGCAACATCTGTGGGAAGAAAGCAGAGCTAATGTTTCATCTGGTGACTCTATCAGAACTGTTAGTATGGAGGAAAAAGTGGGATTTATGCTGAAACCAGAGTGGTGGGGTGGGCACAGAATAAAAGGGAGAGGTGAACAGATCAGTGGAGACAGAGCCCAGTCAGAGAGAGAGAGAGAGAGAGAGATATGAAAGGGGTAGGTAAACAAGGAGATTATGGACAGCAGGCCAGAAGAAAAGCCGAAAAGGCGACCGCTTTGCAGAACACCCATGTTCTATCTGATTCCAAGTTTCCAGTTGCCTGCTGCTTCAACACATTATCATGTTCCCACACCAGCATTTCTGTTGCAGGTCTGCTGCAGTGTTCCAGTGAGCCTCAGCGCAATCTTGAAAAACAGCATCTCATTTTCCACTTGGAGGCCCTGCAGCCTCTAGGATTTGAACATCAAGTTCAATATCTTTACAGCGTGATTCCACCTTTCCATGTTTGTTTTACCCACCCCATACCTGGTCATGTTAGGACGTGGGTTGCTTTTAGCAAAGTCACCCATTCTCATGTACTCCTAGGCCCATTATGGCCTCATATTGGTTGCATTCAGCACAGCTCATCCATTTCCTAACTCTTATTATCACTTATTCAGCTGTTTTACAGCCCTGGCCAGTTATTCATAATCTCCTTGTTCACCTACCCCTTTCATCTCTCTCTCTCTCTCTCTCTCTCTCCCCCTGGGCTCTGTCTCCATCTACCTGTTCAACTCTCCCCTTTCTACTCCCACTTCCCCATGACCCTGTCCACCCCCACTTCAGCTTCAGCATAAATCCCACCTTTTCCTAGCTACTCACAGTTCTGATGAAAAGTCACCGGACTCAGAATGTTAACTCTGCTTTCTTCCTACAGATCCTGCCAGGCTTGTTGAATTTCTCCAGCAATTTCTGTTTTTGTTACTGTTCCCTATAGCCCTGAAGGACAAACATTTGATTTGATTTCTTACTGTCAAGTGTACCGAGGTACAGTGAAAAATGTTGTCTTAGGTCTTTTACAGGCTGATCGTACTATACCAGTGCATCAGGGTAATAGAAAAGACTGCAGGAGTACAGCTGCTGAGAAGGTGCAGACAAAGATCAACATTAACATTAAAGAGGTCCATTCTAAAGTCTGATAACAGTAAGGAAGAAGCTGTTCTTGAATATGATTGTACGTGTATACAAACTTTTCTGCCATTTCTATTTCCCTCAACTGTCACTCCATCAGATGTTCCTTTTAGCATTTCCCCACCACTTGATCAAAACCCTTTTGTATCTATACCTATCCACAGTTCTGGTAAAAGGCCATCAACCTGAAACATTAATTTTGAATCTGTCCACAAATGTGACCTGAGTATTTCTGGAAATTTCTGTTTAAATTTCAGACTGCCAGAAGCTGCAGTTTTGTATTGTTATCACAAGGCACGCGCACATCTCTGAAATTAGTTAAACACTTGATAGAAATGAATAGGTTTAGCCACAAAGTTTTCCAAATTGTTTTAGGGGCACCTTCTCATTTTATGTCTCAAAATATCTCTCAATGTTCAAAAGAGTAACAGATAGGAAGCCTGTGGACAAAACCACAGCATATGTTTCGACATATGAATTTAGATGTAAATATTTTGCAAGCAGCAAAGATAACAGGTTATTTCCTACTCCAGATGTTTAGAACTGAGACAACACATTTCTCCATTGCAGGAAATACAACTGGGTATACTTTTTTGAAAACGGTAATTTTGTCCTTGCATTTACAGCCAAAAACAAACATTTACATGACGGCAGGCACATTCTGCCCAGGATTCAACTCTGATGAAATTATGTCATACCCGTCCTGCTTATCTGATACTGGGATCTGAAAACAAACAATTCATCTTACAGTAAAGAGTCAGCCACCTGCACATCTTGATATCAGATGCACCAAGTCTTGCAGCATTCTATCTGCAAGATGAGACAATAACTTGTACATCGGCTGGTTGACCTTTTATTATTTCTACCAGTCCTAAAGAATCTTGTTACGTTTCAGTGAAACATTTTATCTTTCTTAAAAGGTAGAATTTATCTTTTTAAACACGGATACATGCTCACAGTTGTGCAGCACAGAATTAAAACAGTGAAGTCATCTTGAAGCCTCACTCTCTTTTGATATAAAAGTTTTGTCATACTCACAGATACGATATCCTCCATTACAATTTAGCAGACTGCATGAAACCACCAGTGTTTTATAATCCATATTCACATCAAACGTAAACGTTCTGCTCTGCATGCCAACGAATGCTTACCCCAAAAGAATTTTAACAAAGATTTCTTTATTTGTCCTTGATGTCTCCTTCAGAGCGGTAACTTCTGCATCAAACCAGAAACCACGTTCCTCTGGTATCTCTAAATTGTAATTTACCATCACAGCTTGTCCTATTCGAAGCTGATCCCATTTCAAAACTGTCCTAGCTCGTGGCCGAACATTTTCTGCACACATTCCCACTATTCCATTCTCTGGATAGCTGGAGACAAAAGGAAAAAGCAAATGTTAATACAAAATTCTAAATTTTTGGATTAACAGTAAAATAATTAAACGGAATGGATACTTTCCTGCTTAGAACACAAATGTCAAAAATCAACACATATGGTCCATCTAAAATTGCTCGGTTTACAAGAATACCCATGCCAATCAGACAATATAACTTATCTGAACATTCGATCAAGATTGCACCTCCAGGTTACAGGCAAATCAACCAGAAAACAGAATATGCCATACAATGAGTTAGTGCCATGCTGTTAATAAATATTAATCAGAATGTCTGTATAGATTCATTCTATTTTGCAAAGTGTCCCAGAGATACATATATCACTGGAAGATTCTCTACCGATACAGAATGTAAAACCACACCAATCTCCCAAGCCATTCGCAGCAAGTGCGTGGACCAACTTAAGAAACTCTCTGAAACGGTGCACAATGGTCACGGCAATCACAGTCAAAAAGACAAATATACTTGAGTTAACAGATCGTGTCCTAATTAATCTTCTTCACACAAATATGGAACTTAGCTGACATCACATTTGTCCAAGAGAATTTTCAAAGGATATACGAAAGTTCCATGTGGAGAATTTTTAGCACATTGATACCAATACTTTCCGACAAACCATACCACAACCGTTTTCTTTAAAATAAAACTTCTTCCCCCAAACCAAATAAAGCACTGTCTTGTGCAAACTTCATCTAATGACAAACTCCAATGCAATAAACTGACCTTTCTAATAACACTAGAACAACTATAGTTCATCTAGACTGATGAAAGGTCGCAAAGCTGAAACATAATTTTTATTATAGTTCACTTTGGCTTGCATTTTTATCATAGCAGAAAAACTCTCTGTCATTGGTAAGAATGGTGGGCAAATCCAGAAATGGCATTGGCACAGGATTTGTTAACATGTAGTTCGTGGTGGTAGCAGACCATGTGGGAATGACGTGGGATTTTGGCAGCCTTGAGTGTAAAACCTGAAGTGTGCAGACGTAGACTTGCTAATTTCATTAAAACTATCAATGGACCTGTCAAAATTGTCAAAAGTAACCATCAAAGGGACCTATCAAGGTGTAAACGGATTTAAACGTCTGTCCCTTAAATCTCTGAAAAAGTGTTTGGAGTGTTAAAAAAAAAAATTGCTTGATATTTCACTTTGCCTACTGATATAAACCTGAGGACTTCCATTACTGGATTAATGTCGTATGACTGGTTTCACAACCTCCATGATCATAGTCGGACAGCTACCATTTCACTGCTCGATAGACAGCTACATGCCCTGCACAACCCAACTCTGCACCCAGCAGCTTCTTCACTTTTTCCAGGATTGCCAACTGATTTTTAATACAGTCTTCCACCCCGACCTGGATCAAAAATCCACCCGCCTCTATGTACCTAACCATGAACAAAATCAGGACTTTAGATTTTCCTTTATCTTAATTTGAAAATACTGTTTGGAAAAAAAAAACCCTTCTCTCAAACTGCCAAGTATAGCAATGCCCAATAGAAACTAGCTACATGGTATGTTTAATCCAAATTTAGTGGATTTAGTAATTTTTAAAAAAAAGTGGCAATGCAAAAAATAATGGCAGTTTTAAATAAAAAGATAAACTTCCAAAAACACGACTTCAGTGGGGTGTACTGAAGGAAACAGACAAAGAAATTGCAGGCACTTTCCTCATTATTTTCCTGAACTCTCAAGATTCAGAAATCGTGCATTTGGGTTGGTAAACCACAAGTCTTTGAGTTCAATGTCAGATGTGGGAAAGACAGTGGATCCTATTGCCTGTGATTGAGTGACTAATCAAAGACACAGCAGAGCTGTGTGATTTAGGTGGTGGGATCGTGAGTTGAGTCTCGGGTAATTTAGTTGATTTCCTTTTAGGCTAACATGTCAGAATTGAGTCTACTGATTTCCAGAACACACTCAGTAACATTTTAACAACACACAGTTAGCAAAACCAACAGTTCATGGAATTGGAAGTAAGCTTGTGCTGTCAGTTCATGCTGCTCCAAATAATGGGGTATGCCAACCTGTGCTCCCCAGGCACATCTATTGCTTCTTACTATACATGTTAAAATTACTTGAAGAAATAGATAGCTGTATCTTCAACACAGTGTAGATGTCATTAATTTAGGAGTCACAGTAAGATGGCAGCAGGCAATTATAAAAGGGCATGAAGTGAGTGGGTGGAACTACAGCAGATGGATTTCAGTTGGCAAAGAGTCTGAACCAATAAACTGCATTATTTTCTAATTCAAAGAATAGGAGCTGTGGGGAGCAAGAGGATTTAAAAGTGATTTGTGTACAAATCACTAAGAGTTCATGAACTGGGACAAAAGATAATTAAAAAACTAATGAAATTCTGACCTTTAACTCAAGAGGGCTGGAATTCAAAATGAAGGAAATTATACCTCAATTATGTAGATTTGGTGTTCCTAGGTTGGCCTTGAACTGAGTATCTTGCTCGGCCATTTCACCAAGCAGTTAAGAGTCTGCCACATTCTAAGAGTCTGGAGTCACATGTAGACAAGGCCAGGTAAAAATATCCTTCCTGAAAGGTCATCAGTGAACCAGCTGGGGATTTTACAATTGTCATGGTCACCTTGATTAAAACTAGATTTTAATCCTAGATTTATTAACTGAATTGAAATTCTACCAGTGCTGTGTTGCAATTTGAACCTGTGTCTCAGAGCATTAGCCCAGGTCTCTGGATTACAAGTCCAGTGACATTATCACCATGTGTGGTACGGAGCTAGTAATCCTGATAATGAATTCAAATCCTATCACAGTTCTTAAGTAGAAAAGAAATTCATTAATAAAGTGTCTAAAGTGGGAGCAACATTTGAATACTATCTTCATTTCAAGCTTTGATATAGACCACTCTGGGTCAATTAGCAATGTTGGTGTGTACAGAAATTTTCAGTAAACTGTCTCATTTCTCCACACAGATGAGGTCAGTGGCACTGAAAGACTGATTCAATGCTGAACTGCTTTTCTTCTACAAGGCAAAGAAAATGGCCTCCAGAAGTTCCAAAGCTGTTGATGCGCAATTTGTTCTCTGAATTTGTACATTTATCAATTAAGCAAAGCAACCGAGCAAAGTGCTGCAGATAGTTTAAATCTGAAATAACAGTAGGTGCTGGAAATACTCAGCGGGACAGGCAGCTGCTGCGGAGGAAAAAACAGTGAATTCCATAGTTCAATGACATTTTGTGAGAACTGGTCATAGACCTGGAATGTTAAGTCTTGTCTGTCTCTCTCTCCACCGATGCTGCCAGGGCTGCTGAGCATTTCAAAATGTAATGCACTCACTTAGAACAGATCTCCAAATTTAATTCATACAGGGGTCCAAAATTAAGCACAACACAATTCTGTACACACACCCCAAGTTACCCATTCACAACATTGGGATCAGTCCCATCAGAAAGCCTCAACTTGCCCATGGGAGAGCGCACTGCTGCAAAACGTGTGGAGCAGCATTCCAACCACCATTTTCATGGAACAGGCCAGCAGCAGACTTTGAACATCAGGCCCCATCTTATCCAATTTTAGAGACTGTAACATTTTGGTTCAGAGACAGACATCGAGAAAATTGTAAATACTCAGCTCCAAAAAGAGAGCGAACACTTGCAGATGACGGATGCAGTGCATGTCAGTTTGATGATCATGCACACTGTACCCTCTTAGTAAAAAAGAAACCAAAGTTCTAGAGATCTCAAAGTTATTGTAATATGTTTTTCATTTAATTGAAAAAACTGTGACACAAATCAATCTATTATGGTCAATGTGCATGGGCCTACAATTGTTCAAAATTTCCACTGATGCTACAGGTTTTCAAAACGAAAGTATAATTTCTCAGCAGCCGCATTTACAGGTTAGGTGCACCAATGAGCATGCCTGCATAGAAATGGAGTGTTGCAGTGTGATGCCACTGCTCATCATAAAGATGGCAGCAAAATCTGGAACTTCCATGGCAATGTAAGTGTTTCTGTCTGCGAGATTCAGATTTTCAATTAGAATCAATATTTGTTCAGTTAGATTTTTGATTGCAAATGCAAATCAGCGAGCTGAGAGTCTTAAATCAGACATTCCGTACCTTATTGGGAGATTGATACCCATATTAGTCGAGACATGGTCATAAATGAAGTTATTTGTGAAAGCAAACATAAAATACGTGAATACAATTTTCCAGCTCCAAAGGCCTTGATTGGAGCGCAGCCTCCTGATAGGATGATAATGGATCATCTCCTCACCTAAACGTCAAGACATCATCCGCACAGGCACAGAAGCATAATGGCATGACAGAGATGCCATTACTGAAGACTGGTGTCCCATGGCCATTTGCGCATGTGCATCAAACCAAATGTGTAGATAGCTTTCTGCACCTTTCCTTTCCTAAGGTTCTTTCATCTAATCAATGGTCACAATACTGCTAAAGTGCTGGGAAACAAGAGTCTTTTAAAAGCTGGTGTGGCTCCATGAAAACTGTAGGGCTCTATGAGATGCCTGTCATCACAGTAGAGCAGCCAAGTTGGGACTGCTGGGTGCAGGATCATGGTCCACATTTCTAACCTACACTGGTGAACATTGGTGTGCCAGATGTGGGAAGGAGATGCAGAATGGGATCCCACTTGCCAATTTTTGATTTCCACGGAGTCTCCCGATTTCCTTAAAATCTAGCCCAATGTTACACATCTGTGATCTTTCAACAGGCAGTCATGATGAAAGGTTACAGACCTGACATATTAGCTGTTTTACTCTCCACAAATACCACAGCATCTATTGAGTTGTTCCAGCATTTTCTGTTGTTATATCTTTATGGTAACATTCAGTTATTGGAATTGGACCCAAGACAGCTGTTATATTCCACGGTGTTGCCAACCTACAGGTCTGACTGGTGATGGGACGCGAGAGGATCAACAAGGGCTTGGATTCTTTTTTCTTTAACAACAGATAATTCCAGTGGGTTATGGTCAAAGCTATGCAAACAATGCAAAGCTTGCAGTAACTAGTTAGTGGTGGATTGCATGACTTACAAGTATTGTACTCCAGCAGTATTCAGGTACTCATATGAAGTTCACCAAATTAGACTCTTATAAACAGATGCACTGGGTGTACACTCCATAGAAGCAAGGGAGAAACTGCCCGAATAAATTTCTTGGTAGTTTGATTTGAAGAGTCGAGCACAGCAATGGACTTGCAGATCAGAAGTACAAAGTACTAGTGCACCTGAAGTACAATACTTAACATGCACCATAGATCTCTCAAACTTGTGCATTCAAGCACAGGCATAAGGTGGTTAACCGAACAGTTCTTAACTGGTTTTCCACTCAAGATATTTGATATATACAGCTGAAGCAGAGTTACTAATGTGCAATAACGAATACCTAAAATTTGGTTCAGGAAGGTTACTCGACACTCCCAAACTTGAATCAGAAACAGATTATTTTGTCCAAACATACAGTGAGGTTGATACTGACATATTAAAGGTAGATCGAACAGTTATAGTTCCCAGAGTCAAAGTTAGTTGAGAAAACTATTGTTAAACTAATAAATATTAAAAAAAACAGGATGAGATTATTTCACAAGAATGGAATGCAATATCATATGACTGAACCTGGCTCAATAAAACATATTTGTTTCTCTGCGCTGACCAAAACAAAACATCAAAAACCAGGCAAGTTTAGTTCAAGGTTCAATTTGCAGAATTAGACAATCGCAACCACAGTAATGGTTGAGCTAGTCACAAGTCCCTGAGGACAGTCTGAGAAGAATGTTCCAATATTTCCAATCATAATTGAAAGCGCATGCGTACAGTTGCTGCTTAAGCCCAAGGACCAGGCTCAGCTACAATTTCACACTGTTGTTGAATAAGATGGCTGACATGATTGTCAGGAATTTCTTTAGGGGTTCTCCTGATAAATCAGCCAACTTTGGTGAAAACTTCGAATTACGTATGTAAACTAGTTTCCCGCATTGTTCCACCAGGTGAACACCTAACATCTGAAAACTAAATGGGACAATTTGAGAGAGATAGCAAAGGTTGCTCAATGCCTTCATATCCAGAAACCTGAGGGAGCACCTTGATTGGCAAGAAGTGAGTAAAGATAATTTCTTTCAGAAAAAGATTATATTTACTTTAAAATGGAAATAAGTACAAGTGCAAAGGAAATTTTAATTATTCCAGTCAACTGCTTGTTTTGTTTTTAAGCACAAGATCAATTTTAAATTCACAGTCAACTTATTACCAAACACTCATACTTTTAACAACTGTGTTTAGGTGCAAAACATGACAACTTGCTTCCGAGCAAATAAAAGAAACTGAATGCTGCAATACTAGAAAGTAGGGCACAAGTATAGTCCTGGCTTGATATAAATGTCTGCATGGCATTTAGGAATACTTAATAGAATGGTGATGCATTTTCTGTAGTTGCCAGCTACAGAGCTGCAACATGCCCACAGCTAAATGGCAATAGTAAACAAAAAACACAAATCAATTTCACAATACTCAATCACTTCATCCTTCACACCTTTCACAAACAGTACCATCATTTGAAAACCTGTCCATCTTCTCTCCCACCTACCCACCCCGCCCCTCCCACTGACCAAACCCCCCCACTTCCTACCTGCACTCACCTATCACCATCCCACTACCTTCCCCGGCTCCACCCCTCCTCTCTATTTATTTCGCAGCTCCCTTCCCCCTCCCCATTTCTGAAGAAGGGTCCTGACCCAAAACGTCAACTTTCCTGCTCCTCTGATGCTGCCTGGCCTGCTGTGTTCCTCCAGCTCCACGATGTGTTGTCTCTGATTCTACCATTTGCAGTTCTTGCTATCTCTGAGTAATTTATATCCCATCATTTGAAAAGCTTCGGTATTGTGACATGAAATTACAACACATTAAAAAGGCAACATCTCAATTGCTAATCATTTCCCAATTAACTTCAGTTAATAATTCAAAATTCTGTGTGTTATTTGCCATACCCTCACTTCAATCTCGGTAAAATTCAGCTCCTGCATGCTGTTCAGCTAAGACAGCACTCAGCTAAGACAAAACAAAAGCCTGGAAATCTATAAATCAAATAACACCTGGGGAAAATTAACAGCTGATTTTGGTAGTAGGACTTTCATTTCTTAAGGGGTTTTCATCTTGCTCCACAAGATAGTAGGGAGAAAACAAAAACATATGAAATCAACAGAACAAAGATGCTCCATATACACATGGCTAGAAATTCAAATGAAATACTGGAGATGCTGAATATCTGAAATAAAAGGCAGAAAGTGTTGGAGAAATTCTCTGTACAGACAGAAACAGAGTTAAAATTTTGAATCCAACTGACTTTTCTTCTTCATAGTTCTGGGAAAGGGCTGTATTGGACTTGAGACATAATCACAGTCTCTTTCTCCACAGGTACTGCCAGATCTGACCAGAGTTTCTCCAGCATTTTCTCTGTTTTAATTAAAAACCGAAAGAACTGCAGATGCTGTAAATCAGGAACAAAAACAGAAGTTGGTGGAAAAGCTCAGCAGGTCTGGCAGCATCTGTGAAGAAAAAAATCAGAGTTAACATTTTGGGTCCGGTGACCCGTCCTGAGAACTCAGATCACCGGACCCGAAACGTTAACTCTGATTTTTTCTTCACAGATGCTGCTGGACCTGCTGAACTTTTCCAGAAACTTCTGTTTTTGTTGTTGTATTTTCTTTGTTTTCATTATGTTGGGAAATACACTTAGGTCAGTGGCACAAAAGGACAACGTTGGACTGGCCATTCCACTCTGCACAGCGCCTGACATTTAAATGCCATGACTGCAATGGAACTTACATACTACACATAAAGGGCAGCCAAGCCAACAGTGCCCAGTTTGCTCCACTGATCAACTTGAATTTCTTGCCAAGATCTTTTCAGTTTTTTAAGAAAAGTTATGTTCCAAGTTTTCCTTCGTCCCCTTTATCATTTTGCACGATAATTATCATTTCTATCTAACTTAAAGGTGTGTTTCTATATGGAAATTCCCCTCATCTGTGTCCATCACACTCTCAGGGAGGGCATTCCAAATCCTAACCATTGGTCCTTTTGTCTATTACTTTAACCAGGCCTCTTCTCGCTCTTGAACCTGTCGCCCAGTTTCTCTACATACTCTACCTACACATTTCAAGATTTTGAACTACCTATCAAACATCCTCTCAATCTTTTCTTCTCCAAGAAAAACAACCCATGCTTCTCAACTTATCCATAAATTGAAGTTCGTCATCCCTAGAACCACACTCAATCCATTTTTGCACCCTTTCTAATGCCATCGCTTTCTGCATTAAAGCGGTGTCCAGAGTTGGCCACAATACTCCAGTTAGAGACAAGCCTGAGCTTGTTTTAGATATGAAAAAAGTCGCCTTCGACTGATAACTTGCCCAGCATCTTCCTTTGTGTTCCAATTCACAACCTTTAATACCTCTTCTTGTGCAAAACAGAAAATAGACAGTTACATAAGAGGTAGTGTAGACTGTAAAAAAATAAAAACAAAAAGGTAATGGCATTATAGACATCATATTTACTGCTAAACTTTTACTTCAATGACATTCTAATGTACAGTTTTTTCAAAGTTTTCATACATGTATAAGTATCTGAACAAAGTAGCCAATTTGTTATGCTAAAAAATTTGTATGTATCTTGGAGCAGTGGGAACTAGACTTACTCATCATACTTGATATGATACACAATGTCATCATCTGCAGAATCCACACTGGAAGTAGATGGTGTACAGTCCAAATTATTTGATGTCGTCCCACTACAGTGCTGTGACTGATCTTGGTCCGAGAGATCTTTAACATTTTGAGCATGTGCTCTTGTCCTTTCATTTCCATTGGCATCATTTTTTGATGCACTATTTTTCTGTCCCTTTGTGTTTCGTGTGATATTTACAATGTGAGCTTCAAACCAGGCTCCGATTACCAAATCACGGGCATCCACCAACTCATTTATCTGCAACATAATATTTAAAAAAAGGAAATATCAGTAACTTCTCAGACGAAATTACATTCTTCTTATATGCAACTACTCAATGAGTTAATTTTCTACACAGTAGTACTAAAACTTCAATTGTCTCACACCTCTACATGTAATAAAGATGCTAGGTACGCATAACATTTCATAGATAACTAGATGAACATCCACAGTGTTCATAATGATGAAGAATGGGAAGAAAACAAGTTGAAATATGAGGTTCAAAGTAATTCAACTTTTGATTCCATTTAAATTTGCGTTTTTATACCTTGATTTAAAAAGAAAATTACGCAAATGAAGAACATTGTCAAGGTTGGAGCTCAAGATAAAAACAAAATACTGAAAATGCTCAGTAGGTCTGTCAGCATCTGAGGAGTGAAAAACTGAGTTCATGTTGAGGTCACTTATCAATCAGAAACACTAATGTTATTTCTCTCTCTCTGGAGATTTTGCACAACTGCTGACAATTCTCAGAACTTGCTGATTTTATTTTTTCCTCATGCTTGGGCACCAATGTCAACCAGGAAGCAAACAATGAGACAGAATTAATTCAGGGCTTCAAGCAAAGGAAATTCTACGCAGTAGTAATCATACCATGATCAAATATGAAATTCAATTGAAGAAGTGAAATGTGGGTCTAAGACTAAAGTATTAAACTTAGGTAAAGGTACAGTAATTATAAGATTATAAAGTTAGGGTTGGCTAAAGTGAACTGGGAACATAGGTTAAAATTTAGGACCATAGAGAAGCAGTGACAAACATTTTGAAGTTATATTTTAAAACTCAACAAAGATATATTCCATTTGGTAAAAACAACTCCATGATCAGTGTCCTAATAACTGAAGAAGTTAAGGGTAATATCAAATTAAAGGAAAAA